CTTGATGATTGGTCCGGTGACTGGTCTTGGTCCGAAGATGACTGGAGTTACTTGTCCGATGACTGTTCTTGGGGTTCTCAGGACTGGTGGAGTGCTGAACAACCGAGTGCTAGCGCACTGTCAGGTCAGCAAGGCACTTCGATTGTCCCGCAGCATCCCATCAAGAGTGAGCCTTCACAGAATGTGGCGGGCGTGACTGTCGTGAAAACATATACTGTACCATGTGATCTTGTATCATGCTGTATTCGGCATAGAGTATATTGTATGGCAACCTACGTTACTATATTACTATATCAATTCAAAGCCATTCTTCGTTATATCATGTGCTTCTCACGAAAGTACAAACTGCATAAAATGACGTAACATACTCTGCTATGTATGTCCAAACACTGCTTGTTCTAGCATGTCAATGTACATTCTGTCTCATTTGCTTGCTTGTGTTGCATCATATATTGTAAACTTGTGTAGGATACCCAATAGTCTATGTTACGCGTTTTGTACTGTGTACCTATTGTTAATGCATCGCACCTGCATTTCGCTTGTATTGTATATGTAGTCCTTATGTAATGCATGAGTCATGTATACAGTGTTTTGAACTACATTCTGCCTCTTTGTTTGCGCTAATGATCTGACTAATGCTACCTCTTTTGCCTTAATCCTGTCATATCTTTGTCCTGTTCTACGTCATCTCATCCTGAAGGTACTATATCATATTTGGTTATTATTCTTTTGCAATAACCTTTAAGCTTGTACTTATACATTTGGTGTTGTCCATTTGTACATTGTAATCATTCGCCACGCATATTATTGTTCCTTGACAGCTGCTTTACCACAGATCGCGGTGCAAGAGGTTGCCATTCCCCAACGGCTTGCTGCAGAACAGCGCCTTACAGCCATAGAATTGCGATTCTAGCCGTCCGTACTTCCTCGGCACACTGGGAAAGATGCTAAAGCGTAAGGGGAGATAACCGCGCACCCGTATATCTACGTATATATATATATATATATATATATATATATACCGAGTATGTATGTTTGCCTGATTCCAACAATCGTGAAGTCGTTGTTTTCAGATGCATGCATGTACGCACGCATTTATGTATATATGCGTGTGTATGTAGGGTTGGGTGTCGGCCCAGCGGCAGGCGCCCGTTGCGGCGCAGGCGCCGGTGTTGGCACAGGCGCCGGTGTCGGCGCCCAGCGCAAGACCTAGCTAGCGCAAAGGACTTTGAAGGTTGAGCGCTCCTGACATTAACTTGCGAAGCTCTCAATCTCTGAACCCGAATACTCACAACCTTTGAGTGCCCAACACCAAAAACACTGGAGACCTACAGTAAGCCATACACCTTGCAGATTTTCATGCCCCGGAGCCCGAAACAGTTTACAACCTCACAAGCCCTTATCAACTTCGATAAACATCCCCATACAAACCTTCTAAAACCCTTTAAACCTATCCTAAACCTCCGCTTCCAAAGCACCCCCAACCCCGCGGCAAACCTTCACAACAACATGATAACAACGCCGAAAGGCCTTCCAGACGAAGGCTGATGCGAGCAACAGGAGGCCGGCTGTGATGAGGACCACGGAGAAGTTCAGCTCCGTCCTCAGGTTGCACAGTGGTGTGGGTGGTCGGTGGTAGGAGGAGAATGGAATGATACTGCGGTCATATGTGTTGAAATATATTCTGAATATGAGCGTATTACGATTTTAAGATTTCAGTTTCTTTTTCTTTACGCATCCGCTAAGACTCACACCCATATTCTAAACCGTACAGACCCATAAACGGAGGATCAAGTACAGGAACCATATTCTGCAAACATGTCTTGGTGTATGCCTCGTCTCTAGTCGCCTTAAACTAGCCTTCGACACCAAGGCATGAAGCTCCAAGCCTCCAAACCCGAGAATGTTACAGAGATCCGACGTTCCGAAACCCCAAACCCCAAGGACAATTAAACCATAAAAACCCTAGACGTAAACCCCCAAGTCCTGAACCTCTATTCGCGACGCCCTAAGACTAAATCACTGCTTCCTTGCATCAAAGCCTCGCCCACACTTCCGTCAAGGCTGTGGCACCCGGGAGAAAAAACCTCGCAGGTTCAGCCGCCCTACATCATCACAATACCCTACTTAGGTGCCGAATCCTGTGACCCGAGCCATCCGACCTCAGGCTTCAAGCCCCAATCCCTTAGAGGTTTTGGACCGGGTTGAAGCCGGTAAACCCGAGACCCAACCTTTTCGACCTCCACTTTCCATACACAGCCAAGATATCATCGAAACGGAGCTGTACGTAGTGGTCATTGAAGTTTGGAACTCATTCATTGCGTATTGCGCCCTGCATGTCCTAAAACCAGATTAGTCAAATCTTCCACCCCGCCCCGCCCGCAACGCTTGGCCTCGACATATAAGCCCGTAAATACCATCGTAATTTCAAGCATATTCCTGAAATTGAAGAAAGGTCTGCCCGGTCAAGTAAGGTGTATTGCTCATTTGAGGGGGGTGGGGCCCCCTAAGAAGCTCTGATCTCAGCTGGTTCCTTCAGTGTGCTCGTGCTGATTCCATGCGCACATGCCCCCTGGATGTTGCAAACAAGGTTGCCCATTCGATGGCTGAATTTGTGCTTGCTTGTCGTTTACCAAGTATTCCTTTGGCAAAAAAGTGTCGGCTTCAGTGTTCGGTTTCAACTTGGACCCTAAGCCTGAAAATCCAAGAGTATGTCTTTTGTTGATCTGACCCTGCGATATATCAAGCAGCAGGTTTCGTCGTGGTGCCCGGTGCTTCGAAACCCCGACACAGTTACTTACACGAGGCGAAAATGCCCATGTAAGCAAGACCAGCATGCACAAGAACAGTTGCATCAGACAACAAGAGATGGCAACAAGATTGAATCGTGCTGGTTTTCTGGATCACTTGTGTCTGCCCGTGCAGCAGATTCGAAGAAGAGGCTATGGCCAACCCTCGAAAACATCTGAGCGCTTTCCGAAACCACCGTGGTTTCGAAAACACGAAGACCCTAAAACGGAGATATGTGGTCTCGAGCCCCGACTGCTGGCTGATATTTGAGGCAATGGACGGTGGCTGACGGTCTTCAAAGGCAGGATGCGTGTGGCTTTTTAGCGGCCTGAAGGCTTCAAACACCGTTTTGGGCATCGAAAGTTTGGCTGTCGCTTCGTGGCGAGATTCGTTCTGAAGCATTGCAAGATGCTTACGCCAACAAGCCGTTTGGATGTTACCTGCTCTGACCTCGCATCCGGTATATTGCGGACACATCCGAACAACGGAAAGGATTTAAGTGATGGTGGCCTCTAACCCCGTGCTTCGGAACGCGTCGTGCCCTGTTGTCAAGACTTGAGAAGCTTCCAACGCTGTGAGGATTGTTGTTCCACAGAAGGGAAGCCCCGAGCCCAGGGCTTCCTCCTGGGCATTGTGATGAGCTGGCACGTCCCTCATACCAAAGTTGGGCTGCCGCCCTTGCAGCCTGGCTGCAGCGGGAGGAAGATGGGGCGGCCTTAGTCAGAAAAATGGCTGAAGCTAAAGCCTACAGTATGCGCAGCAGGAGGCCACTTAGAGAGACATTCGAGAGCCATCTACCTGCGTGCTGCATCAACTGTTTACCAAATGGTGCCGTGATGATGGTGGTGGTGACGACGACGACGATGCAAATGCCCGTAATCAGCGGTGACACTGATGCTGCTGCCGGTGCGGGCTGCCCGGTGCTAACACCACCGGAAACCTTGAGAACAACACACCCACCGCCTGCTCAGCATGCACCGACAACACCCAGAGGCAAGTCTGACATGGTAATTTGAATACGCACGCTCCGGTCTTTTTGCCTCGGTCTGACATGGCAGGGCTGCGTCAGCAAATGCTAGCTACCGTTGAAGCGTTGTCACATTCAGATGCTTCCCGCTTGGCTACCAACGCATCAAGCCCAGTTCTTGGACCGCGACGGCTGTAACAACTGCGTGACTCAACTTGTGCCGCGCATTCATCGTGCCAGTGGCAATGTCTTGGCCAACCAGCTTGAACTGCGTGCCTTTGGCTTGCTGACAATATGGCCAAGCAGTCGGCCCTGCGCTTCTGTACTATAGTACTAAATTCGCGGAGCGCCAATGTAAGGACTGGCGACACCGCTCTTTAACTTGAGCTGCTTTTGACTCGGCTCCAGACTCGAAGGGGGATACACAGAAAGAAGACGGCTACAGAGTAAAACTAAGCCATGGGGCAGACCTAACATGTAATGAAACTTCCAACCGCGCCGATCACATCAGCTTCATAACCCCTTTGACGCGGGGTTCGGAAAATCCTCTCTGTCTTCTCATCTTGTCTTTCTTTCAGTTTTCTCGCTCTGTGTACATACATTGAACAACAAACATACAGTTCGTGTGAAGCAACCGTGGTTAGAGTTGGCCGGAACCGTTGTTGAATGACATTGTATCTCACGGTGCGTGCGTGCATGCAAAGTTTGCGCCTTTTGTAGTGGTGTGCATCTAGATATGTATATATATATATATATATGATTTAATTATCTATCTATTAATACATGTATATATATATATATATATACACATACATAGTTATGTATCTATTTCTATACTTACCTAATTATATACCCTTGTGTTGATATAGTTATATGTCTATTATAAATATGTATGTATGTACGTACGTATGTACGTATGTATGTATGTATGCATTTATGTAGTCATGTATTTACTGATGTATTTCCGCATTCAGTTTGTGTGTGTCTATGTACTTAATTGCGATTCTCATGCAACAGCCAAAGCAGAGTCTTGCAGGATGATTGCAAGGACCATCCCCTCACACCTTCAACGACTAAATAGAGAACTTGAACCATGCCGCCCTCGCAGAGTGGCGTTGAAAACTTGTGGAAAAGCCGGTGCCAACGCATCCAAGTTGCACATGAACAAAGTGAGCATGCTGTCCTGAGCTTCGGGAGTGAAACTGGGTCTATGGTTACGGAACCCTGGACGCACTATCAACCGTTAGCCACTCAACCGATTGGAGCCTCCAATGTCTGACTTGAGCCCAGGATCTGGCAATGAATCCCAGAAGCGGCGACTGGCCGCCAAATCCTCTGACTGTGGGGGCCTTCATGTTTGGGATCGGGGTTGGGGTATTTTATCACCCATTTGTCATACAAATCTGCACTATCATATATAAGGGCGTGACGCTACTGCTAATTATTCCGATGTAGGGCTTGGGATGAAGACGGATGAACACCGTTGTTGGTCGGCCGAAGCAGTGTCTGTCATGCCAGATCTCTCTGCAGGTCTCTTGTGGAGGAGTTGCCCTTGTGTAGCTCCAGGCCTTCCGGCCCTCTTCCCCGCTACCATCCGCTTCCCCAACCTCTCACTCATGAGGTGCGGGGAGGCGCGGCCGAGGGTCGAAGAGCGAGACTGGAAGAGGGGCCGCAGGGGGGAATAAGGGATCGGAGAGCTGCAGGCAGTGCCTGCTTGCTTGGAGCTCAGCGGCGAAGGACACTGCACAAGAGTGCCGTCAGCAGCCTCATAAGAACCGCAAAGAATGAACCTCACCGTAATTGTCCTGGTCGCTCAGGAGGAGCTCGGTGCCCTCACGTTTGTAGTCGTTGACTGCAGTGGCAAAGAGAACGGCGAAGACCTAGCAGACCCGGGTCAGGCACACCCCTAGGCCCTAAGCACTCTTAAACCCCTAGAAGACCCTAAACAAACTCCTTTCCAAACACCTACACCCCGGAGAAAAAGCCCTGAACGATGAGGACCTTCTGGAGATCAGAGCCTGAGGGAGGGGACGATGCTTTCCTGAAGTCCTGGGAGATGTTCTGAGGCCATCGTCTTCGTGGCCAGGGCTTCGGAGATGAGATCTACAGGACAGGTTCCTGTGCTTGCCGTGGTTTGTTCTGCAAGACACTTTCAAGCACGGTGTTGTCCATTTGCGCAGACTCAGGATCAGAGTGCTCACCCCACTACATTCATGCTAAGTATCATTGGCACTACTACTAGAATATGCTTGCCCGTATGATGCGCAAAGTCTCTCAAATTGCCGAGGATTTCGAATATTACTGTCGCCAGAATAGAAGGGCTTGCTTTAAGGTGTAGAGCTTCAGGGTGTTGGGTGCAGTGGCCAAGTGCAAAGTGACTCATCTCTGCTTGGACGGCCAAGGTCCCAGCATAAACCACGAGTGTTAGTAGCATGAGCGCCCAGAACCTGGGCTTGGTGGGGTAGAGTTCAACACTTTTGGCGTTTATGGGGTGGAGGCCTGAGGGTGTGACTTAGGGCTTGAGGACCCTCGTCCCAAGCCAACCGCTATCGCGGCACTGAGACGTCTTGTAACTGAGGGAGTATGCACCAACAATGCGAGACGATAGGTAAAAGATGCGAAGCATGCACTCATGTACAGAGATGCTGCACAGTGTCGAAACCTGACTCGGACCGCATCAGAGCAGAGGACGATACGGAATGCGGAATTGGACGGGGGGTTTCGAGCTCGCCATGCCGCCTGGAGCAATTCATGGAGTCGGAGGTGTACGCTGCTAAATAGTGATCTCGAATCTCATGCGATGTCTTCACATGCCGCGAACATGACACGAGAAGAGTCATGTAATGGTGATGTATCTCCTCCTTCTTCCAAACTTAGTCATCGCTCATCATCCTCATCCCTTCAGGTTGTGGGATAGCTAGCTTTACTCGTCCTGCATCTTACTTCGCTCAGGGCACAGGGCCCCAATGGCCCCAACCATGCATACTGTATCATACTGTAGTGTCTTGAACAAGAGCGTGGCAATCTTGGATGCAACACCTGCACCAATCCTATTCCTGCAGGCAGCCAAGGCCTTTGCACCGGGGGTTTTTGAGCTACAAGAACAACCAGAAAGGGCGCGAAGCAGCGATCTCAGAGTCGAGATGATGGAATCCACCAGCATGCGCAGGGCCATGACGAACTGGAAGACGCGGATGAACTGCATGGTTCTGACAAGCCGTGTCAGCCGGATTATTCCTGAAGTGCAGGTCGCACAGCACTTGCAGCCGAGCTTAAGACTAACGAGCCTGCGTGACCCTAACGTCCAAGGCTCTAAAGGATTTGACGGACTGCAGGCCCTGGATAGCACTGAGGCCGTTCTGCCTGGGCAAAAAGCGGCAAAAGCTTGAGAGCAAGCGAAAGGAGCGGCGGCTGAAGCCTCACTAAGCCATGGCACTCCTCGTAGATAGCCTGCAAGATGTCGACCAGGACCTGGGGGTCTTCTTGTGGCGTCTGTACACATGCTTATGGCCCCTGCAGTACCTCCCACAAGGATGTGAGGACCACGAAGACGTCCAAAACCTTCCACATCCAGTCGTCCCCTCGGCAGAAAGACCGCCCAGCTGCCAGCATCCTGATCATGCGGAAGAAGAAGTTGCGTCTGCTATGGCTTAGGGCCGCTGCAGCAACACCACCGGCCTGAAGGCCAGCTCGATCACAAACAAGGCCGTGTAGGAGTACTGGGCCACACGGTAGCTCGCAGGCTTGGGCCCTGGATTCTCGATCACATACTGCACGTCGACTCCAATAAAGATGGCGTTGCTGATCTGGGCACGTCTCTGCTGGTAGTCTCCCTTCCCCCGTCTAGGACACTCCTCTGACATGGACGAACAAGGACTCACAGCCCTTTGGAGTCTCATTCCTGCACCGGGCGGCCACGACCAGAGCGAAGAAGCCCTCAAAGGCACTGGACTCCACGATTTTCCGGATGCACGAGGTGCAAGTGTCCTTGGTGTGTCTCGCCTCAGCTGCGGGCCGCGACGCGAGGAAACTGAAATCCCGATCGCAACACGCCCCTTTGAAGAGACTGAGAGCAGCATAGCAAGGCACAGTATGAGGAGAAGAGGGCGAAGAGAAGGAGAAAAGGCGATGCCTTCCAAAGGCGCACCTTTGCAGCTCTGCCTCCGAGGGGCCGGGGCTGCCAAGTGGGAGAACTTCGTCGCGGCCTGCGAAAGCAAAGTCGGATTCTGCCGTGCTCTGGAAACCGAAGCTTGAAACTGCTGAGTCTCACATGTCTCACAGTTCTTCAAGGCTTGGAAGAGCTCGGCTCCGGCTGCCATCCGCTAGCTCCGCTCTCTGCGCACTTCTCGCCCAAGGCTTCAGCGACACGTCCCCGAAAGCCTGGCCCAGCATCCGCCGCATGGTGTGGCCGTGGATGCTGGAGGACACATCTCTCCGCTCCGCGTCCTGTTATATTCTGGGTTCCATTTCCAGATTCCCTTCTGATTGAGGTCGACACATTCGAAGCCTTTGTCAAGTTACTGTATATTCTGTGTGTCAAGGGCGGACATGATGGAACAAATTGTGATGAAGCAGCCACGTCAATCCCCAAATCAACACGGGAAACTGCTGACACTAGCATGCGCGTGTTGTTCTAGCTAAACCAATGAAACCAACTAGAGAGTAGCCCTTAGAGCAAGTACCACCCCAAGAGTCCCAAGAGGCATCTCACAGGTCCTCCGCGGTGTAGGATTTGATGATGTGCGAGTGTGCAGAGTGCGCTGTCCTTCGCGACTGAGGTCTCGAAGCCCCTGAAACCCCCCAAAACCCCAAGAAACCGGAATCCCAGGCAGCTTCCGAACCTGCAGTGAAGAGGGGGCAAACCGACAAAGGCTGAAATATCGCACAAGCATAAAAAGGATGTAAAGTCTAAAGCAATGTGTGCAGTATGCAATATGCAGTACACCCGAACCTGCCTTTCGACATGCCACCTTCCCTCAATCCGAAGCTGTTGCCGCCAAGCGGCTCACTGACAAATTTGCCGTCTGTCTGGGCCTCCACGACCTGCAACCACAGCTGCAGTGGAAGGCTCTCCGAGTGTTCAGAAACACGAACCCTCCGAGACGACCGCAGTTCAAAGGCGGCAGGCGCAGGGGTTTTTCTCCAGCAGGTTTCTGAACTTCGAAGGAATAACTCGAACGAACATCTAACTTTCAATCGTTCAAATCTTGCATGAAAGGATTGACCAAAGTGTTGCCACTCTTCATAGGGGATGCTTTTCATATTCTTCCCTTGTTTGTAATACCCCTTGACGGGAAGACACAGGAGTCTACATCTCAACAAGAGCCGCAACCAGCCCCCCCTTCCTCTTCTGCCTTGATGGGAGAACGGTAAGATTTTCGTCGCGGCGGCCGAGGCTTCTCGTCCCTCGCTGCCAGCTTCGTGGCTTCAAGGCTTCCGTGGCTTCCGTGGCATCTTAGCATCAAAAATCTCCGCAGCAGAGTCAGAGTCAGCACCGTACGACACCCAATAGTGCTCGTAAACACAGCCAGGCTGATATCGACAACAGCAAGAGTATGACGAACTCGAACAGAACTTTTGCTTCTTCTTCTGCTGCAATCACAGTGTCGCTGGCGAGAACTATGTGCGACAACATCAAGCATGACCGTCAACCGCCGCATCCCCATCAGCCCCAGAAGCATCATCATCATCATCATCGTCGTCACCGTCATCTCCAGCATCGTGACCACAAACGAAATCATGATCCACAGCATCATCACATCATCACCATCCTTCAAGTCATGTTTATGGCCATGGTCGTGATGATGCCGACAAAAATCAAAGTCGCCGCCGCACAGAAGAATGTGCTACGAGAACGACGACTGCTTCTGCAGGTCCTAGTACTGCATTACTACTGCTGCTGCTGCTGCTGCTGCTGCTACGACCACCCTGCTACCGTTGCGACTAACCCGTGTCATCCTCGTGCAACTACGATGATGCCCACGCCGACGCCGGCTCGAACTATGGTTGACAAGACTTGGCGGCCGCCACAGCGCGATCATCGGTTTTACATCTGGCGCTCTAGCAGATCATGAAACCGTCGGATCTGGGTCCCCACAGAACTCGGTAGCCCGACGATTTTCAAGCCTGGGGACGCACCACCACCCCAGGAAGTTCGGTGGTGAGTCCGCGACAGGATATCGCCTCGGATGGGAAAGTGCTAGAGTCCTAGAGGATCTCCTAACCGCTTCATAAAAGATTGGGTACGCAGGGAAACCTGGGGACAAGCTCAATCAAGGAAGTTCTTGGGAGCAGCTCGCACACAAGATGCCGGCATGTCACAGAGTAAAGATTTCAACAACGGGAAGCCAAGATGCACGGTTTTGGCTTACGTCCTCAGACAGGCCTTGGGAACCCCTGCCGGAATCCGCGCCCACGAGCCACCGATTTGCATCTTTGGCCTTTCCTAGTTGGCGTATCGATGTTACTTTGCAAATGCATCTATTTGTGAAATACTATGCTTGGTGTTCAAGCCTGTCAAGCTCAAACCCGGGAGACAGCACAGCAGTGTCCAAGCGCCCAGTCGCGCAAGATCTCGTCCTTGGTCGTGCAGGGCCGAGAGGTTGTGGTAATGTAGAGACCGCTTCGCACCCTCTGAGGAAGCCTAGTGCCTAGTTCCCCACCACACAAAAAGAAACAGCTTCAAGAAAGCTCGGACTCACATCAAGAACATTTTGGTACTGTAGGACACTTCCCAAGTCTTGATGGAAAGGCAAAAACCTTTCGGCAGAATGAACATACAGGGCGTACGGTGACATGCTCCACAGTGCCTGCGATCACCGTCAGCTTCTGCCAGCCGTGGTTTCAGCCGACGGCACAAGATTCTTTCCGCAGTCTTGTGTCATTTTCTTTAGCTGGGAGGGTGCAAGTTTAGGCCGTTTGCACTTCATACTGCGCCACCCCAGCCACATGCAGCAAGGCACCCTGAAGGCTTGATGACACCTCTTGCCTAACTGACGGAGACGTCTTTCTCGCAACACCTCTTCGTAGCGAGTGTTCTGAACAAGGAACATCGAAGCACGCGGCCAACCCCGAAATAGCGGGTGGCTGAGACGATTCAGAGTTCAGCATCGGATCCGAGACTCGGCTGGTCGGAGTCGCAGACCTTCACTCGACCCTCTGAGGCCCCGACCTGCTCACTGAGGCGTTCAAGGAGCGACGCGTGGTGTCGCGCCATCAGATGCGAGAGGTGATCAACGGGTTCATGGTGCAGGTGGTGGACATGGTGGTCATGGTGGTCATGGTGAGGATGCTCCGGCCCGAGGTGGTCCTGTGGGTCACGGCACTGTTTAAACGATGCCCGAGCAACCCTGGGAGCCTACTGCGACATGTCTATAGCCGCTTCACTAGGAATTGAAACAAGAGGACGAAGAGTCCGGACAAGAACACCACGGGGTGCAATAGAGGGCTTGGACTCTGGGCTTAGAGGCTTATATACTTCGCTGAGCAGGCATGCCTGATCGGCAACAGCAAGCAGACGCAAAGGCGACAGTTGGTCTCGACAACGGTTGCCATAAAGGGCTTGTAAGGGTTTCGAGTCTCTCTTCTAGAGTTGCACCATTCGAAGGAGGACGTCCAGTCGCGGGGCCGCCGTCAAGGCTGAGGACTCGCTGTCGATATGCCAAAGAACCCTTGCACACGTAGTTGCTTGCCACGTCCCGAGGCTCTGAAGTCTCATGATTGGGCCCGGAAGGTGACGGCTTGAAGGGGCTCAGCTGGCTGTTCGAGGACGTGTGCTCGCTGCTTTCGAGGGCGTTTCATCTCGAGTGGCTGGCAACAGCCCTACCCAGGCAGACGGCACCCTCTGTAATCTCCCAGCCCTAAGCCTTAGCATGATACCGTGTACTCACTGTCAACGCACAAGTCCTCACAGGAGACGCTCTGAGCCGTAAGCTGGTGGCATTCAGCCTTCTGGGGGCACCCGTGAGGCTGATTACAGTGATAGGACAGGCAAGGTCCAGCAGCACCAACAGTCACAAACACGAATTATGACCAATTACTACAAGTAGTGTCACTGAGGGAGTCGTACGTTTAGTACTCAACCACAAAGAAGAGCTGCGATCTTGGCTTCTCCTTCTGGATGTTCGGCCGCGGCATCCCCGCTGGTCACCGGCAGTGGCGCAGGGCCAAGGCGGCAATCGCAGCACTTTAGGCCGTGTGGGGCTGAAGGTATTGGGCTTGTAGGCACTGTAGGGCTGTAGGGTTGAGGAGGCTGAGCCCTGAGCCGTCCTGTCAAACTTCGATGATGTTCGAGGCTTTGGCGCTTCGGGGGGCCAAAGGCATCGTCTCTCAGAGGGATGAGGGGTTCACTATAAGCGACTGTGACGATTCCGTTTCCTGCTAAAGGCTTGGGCCGCCGGGGGCTCAGCGCGCAAAGTCTCAAAGCTCTGCAGCGCTCTCTTTATGATCGCACACAGCATCCGCATCCCCTCGGCCCTGCCTTTAACTGCGCTTAAACGAACGGGCGGCGGCTTCTATCCTTCTGTACAGAGTGGCGGCACCAGGCCTGTCTTCTTGTTGACCAAAGCCTGCGATTCGCCGCAGAGTTGTGCAGACTGAGATGCAATTCGCACTCACCTCTCTCAAGTGATTTGATTTGTTGTCTTTAAGAGGATATTAATGTTCTTGAATTCGGCCCCCAGGCCCAGGCGCCCTCGAGTCGCGGCACGTCTACGGCACCTGACTGACTGCAAAGGCCTGGGTCCATGCCTGGAGTGGGCTCAGAGCTCTGAGTCTGTAACATCTGTAACATCTGGGCCCTCCGTGAACTCTGTCACGGACGTTGGCTGTTTGTAGCCTGTCTGCAGGAAGGCAGGACCAAGAAAGTACTGGCGCCGAGAGCGAGGTTTCTTCTGCACCAGAGCCGGCGATGCCGTGGAGGAAGACTGGTATCGCAAACACGAAAAGCCTTTGAGCGGGAAGGTCGCCTGAATGCCTTCTGGTCGTGTCCACACTTCACAACGACCGGCAGAGTACTCGATTCCCTTGCAGTCGGTATGTCCAGTGCAAGCCAACTTGCATGCGTCTAAGCTTTGCTCTCGAACAACCGTGTAGTAGCTCGCAGAGTTGTCGTTGCTGTGAGCGCCTCGACAAGCCTGGTCAGCCCCGTTTACGAGTTGGAAGTCTGTGTCCCGCGCCCAGCAAGCGAAACCTTCGACGCTCGCTGTGGCTTGGACTGCTCGCGTCCAAACCTCGCATCGCCGCAGCACGAAGCCGTACTCGATCCCCTTGCACTCCGCATTCTTCAAGCACAAGGCCTTGCAGAGGAGGGGAGGCGCCGCGGAACTACGCACACAACCCCCGCTGCACAAGCAGCAGCACGGCCTTGCACTCGAAGAGGTGGTCGACGCCTTCGTGAGTCTCGTAGTAGTTGGGGGAGTTGTCGTCGGCATTTGCCCCTCTGCAGGTTTTCCCAAGACCTCCCTCCACCGGCTGGAAAGAGTTGGGCTCGTCGGGCTCGTAGCGTAGGCAGCGGAAGTTCGGACCCAGAGCCTTCGTGGCGCGGATCCCGCCCGGCCGCGTCCAAACCTCGCAGCGGCCCTTGGAGAACTCCAAGCCCACGCAGAGAGGCTCCAGGAGGCACGCAGCCTTGCCTCAGAAACAAAACGAAGCGCTCCTAAAAGATAAATTGACTAACTATTCATGTTACAAGTATAGGACCTCCCTGCTCTCGGCGCAGCCTGGATGCAGGCCTCCAAGGACCCGGAGCCGGAAGCGACGACGCGGTAGTGGCTGGCGGAGTTGTCGTTCTCGTGCGCGCCCCGGCAGGCGCGGCCCAAGCCGTCCACGTCCTCGAAGCCGTCGCTGCCACCGGAGCTGCTGGTGCTGGAGCTGGTGCTGGAGGTGGAAGTGCTCGCCTGGGCCACCGCGGCAGCTTTCCAACCCCATGCTGAAATCCCCCATCCACCCCCTCCCCACACCCCCCCCCCCCCCAAAAAAAAAAAGCACCCTGCGTTCAAGAGCAGCAGAAGCGCCGAGACTGTGGTGGTGGTCATTGCCGTGCTGGTGGTGCTGGACGTGGTAGGCACGCTTCTTGGATAGTAGACCTGAGTCTGCTATATGTCAGAAGCACGGTCTCGCACGTCAGACTGACGAACAGTGCAGACTGTGCGGAGCCCAGCGGCCGTGATTTTCGCAGCGTTCGTCGCATCCGGGGTTGGCCCGAAGAGGGGCGTCTGCGGGGACTCCTCGTGCGCGTCCTCGTTCATCGGCTTCGGGTCGTAAGGCCACACGCCGTTGGGGCTCCCCGCAGGGCCCCATCGCCCCTCCTTGTCAATGTGCCAGCTCGTCACCCACCTGAAGGTGCAACATAGTGCAACGCAACGTCGCTGAAGCATGCAGCATCATGCTGCTAGCTGCTGCCGGTGGCTGTCCCTCTCATGTGCTGGCAAGAAGCGCCACGGCGCCGTCGGCCGTGGTGGTCCAGTCCTGATAGAGCGGCCAGTGGGTGTGCCGCGTCACGTCGCTCCGCTCCGACACTTCGTTGCAGTCGCCATCCAGCTCCACAAGCCACCGAGACCTCGGTGGAACTGCTGTTGGAATGCCTATGGGGCCGAGACCGGTTGCTGAAGCTGCCTACATCTAGCCAAGCAGCTTGTCGGACTTCTCGAAACCCATCAGAAAGCGCTGCTCCGGGCCGCAGTCCGAGCTGTCGCTCTCGCGGCCCAAGCGGGCGAGGCGCAGCATGCGGCCAGGGGCCTGGTCTCCGCAGTTCTTGCCGCTGCTGCCACAGGGCATCTTGCCAACCGAGGCCTCGATCACCTTCCATTTCAAGATCTCTCCCAAACGGCTGATCTTCGCGCAGACGTTGCCGCTCTCAGCGATGATCCCCACCAGCCAGCCGTCGCCACAAGGCCTCAGCGCGTTGGCCTGCACTCCCGTGTCGTTGCTGAAAGAAAGCTCCAGCCTCCCGGTCTTGTGGCCCGGCGGAGAAAAGGCGCTTCCCTCAGAAAGTGGGCTCAGGCCGTACTGCTGCATGTACACGGGGCCGTGCGTATGCTTCTGCAGGCCTATGTCCTGCAGAAGCGGATGGTAGGAAACGGCTGCCGATGCTTGGTGGTCGCCGGTGCCTGTTCGGTGGTGGTCTCGCCACGGCCCGGAAGCCTCCTCCAGAAACTCCACTTGATCTCGAGGCACCGGATAGCTGTACTTCTCGTACTCCTCCGCGCTGATCATCGGTGCATCCCGATAGTATGTATGCATGGCGAAACCTGTGTGAGAACCCACGGTGGCCCCGTACCAGGCCGTCCATGACCGGTGCGCCGGAGAGTAGACCAGGTAGCCGTAACCGGCCGAACGCTGAGCAAACCAAGCGGACAAGGGCAAACTGCCCCAGATCCCTGTGTTGGGTGCCGTCTCCTCTGCTTGGTATTGCTTGCCTATCTGCCACGGCTTCTTCGTTTGCATGGTGGTGGTGTTCACCTCACAGACTGCCAGAACCATGGCAGCGTTGTGGAGGCCCTTCCCCGTGTTTTCCACCCAAGGATGCCAATACTTGGCGCAGAGCGTTCCCACCAAGCCGTCCTCCGTGAGATCGATGCCACCGGCCCGAGCAAATCCGTCGAAGGCCTTGCTCTCCGCCAGAACCACCGGCTCACCCTTCCCTGAGGGCAACACCAGCTTGCTGACCTCAGGAAAAGGAGAAACCCGCTTTCACGTGCACATGCACGAGGCGGCTGCAGCTGAGGGACATAGACCCGACCCTCATCTCCAGCAGAAGCAGCTTTGCCATACTCCAAATCGGCCGTCCAAGAGAAGTAGAGATTGGGCTGGGTCTTGTCTGCCACGGCATTCATCGGGGAAGGTCCGCGGAAGATGTGCCCGTGCCTTCGAAGTAGACAGCTGTGGATCTGATGTATGGAGACCTTACCGTACCCCCCCGGGCGGCGCCCGCCAAAGAAGCACTCGGTTCCCCTAATTTCCCCAAACCCCCTCCCGGCCCTCTTCCACTTCCCCCGGGTGCGCCTGGCCGGACCTGCGATCAGCTCCGGAAGGCACACCGTGGACACCGTCAGGAAATCCGAGACCTGCTCCAAAAAAACCACGAGTACAGCAGAGAGCCTCTTCTCTATTCTACATCTCTTCCCGCTTCAGCCTGCGTCCGAACTAGACGGAGAGAGACAAAAAAGAGGAAGATGGAGATGGAATGAAAGCATATGAAAGCAGAAGAAGGATGAAAGCAAGGTTCGAAGTGGTCGCCTCCTCGTGCTGAGCGTAGCAGCCGAAATCGTCGATGTCGGGTGCCACCTCGCAGTTCTCTCCGCTGTGGCCCTCGATGCACTGACATTTGCCCTCCAGGCAGAAGCCACCAAAGGGCTCGTTGCAAGAGACGGCCGCGCAGGCGCCCAGCTCGCAGGCTTCTCCCTGCACATCCGCATCGCACTTGCAGGAAGAGGCCTCCTCCTGGGCCTCCTCCAAGTCGAACTCGTTGACCATTCCCTCGCTGCCGAAATCGCATCTCGAGGAGTAGTCGTAGAAGCTCGTCGAGCTGCAGAAGCCCTTGCCACAAGACTTGCCCGAGCAGCTGCCGCAGCCATCCGAGGATTTCTCAAATTCCAGAGTAGAGAACCGCGCTTGTCCTCTCACTTCCTACTTGCAATGCTTGCAACCTCACTTCCCAAAGTTGAGCACTCTCCCGAGCTCTCTTTTTCCCTGCCCGGTCCTCCTTTCACGTCAGGGTCTCCTTGAATGCTGACTTCGATCACACCGGCGAGGGTGGGGATACACTTGAAGTGGTAGATGTCGGTACGTGTGTGGTGGCACTTGGTGATGTAGTCCTTCTTCACGACCTTCCCGTTGATCACGATGTCCATCTTGCCGCCACCATGCCACTGTTTCTCGCAGAAGTTGTACCTGGATTCACCAAAAACTGTAGAAGAAGGAGCTTGCAGAAAGGCAACAAGCGACAAAAAATCATCAGCTGGGGCGCTTCACCGTGTAGTAACTCACAGGTTCCTGGGAATCTTGCAGGTTCACGCGGAAGGTCTGATTGGTGCCGGCCTCAATGCTGTAGTGGTGCAAGAGGGCCTCGTAGTCCTGGTCGTAGTCTTTTGGCCAAGTCTTGCACTTCATCCTCGGGGAGCCCCAGGAGTTGGAGTAGTCTCGGGGCTCCGAGCCCATCCAGCCGCCCCAGCTTTTTGGAGTCCAGGCCTCATGCGTGTGATGCCAGAGCCGCCCCTGGCTGTCCACGTAGTCTTCGTCGAAGCCGCCGTTGATGCCAACCCAAGCCACGCCCGCACCCGCACTCGCTTCCGCTGCTTCCGCCAACCCCCGGTCCTCACGCAGTGTTGCTGTACAGAAACTCTACAAAACAAGATCCTGCTAAGGAGCTTCTTTCAAATCTTCAACGGGTCGGAGCACGGCGGGCTTTTGCCGCCTGGTCGCGCCTGCAGGGCCAAGCAGAGCGCAAGCGCGAAGAAGCTCAGAGCAGGTCCGCAGGTGCTTGCAGGAAAGCCATGGCCATGGCTCTGGAGCATCCCCCGGGAAGCGCGGGGCCCCGCCTGAAACGCGGAGACCACTTCTCTCTGTTCTTGTCTGGTAGCAGCGCATGTTCCATGCCATGTCTACTAAGACAAGGACTGTCAGAATCGACTGAGGCCGCTTTTGGCAGCCTGATGGAAACTCAAACCACGTGGGACTTGTCCTGCTAGCCATAAAGCCTCGGGATCCCCGGCAGGTCCGCGACGCAGTGCATTCGGGAAGCTAGCGTAAGCCAGTAGTGACCTTCATGCATCATGAACGAACACCGAAACCCTGGAGCCCCAGGCCCTTACCTGCAGTCCATGGCGGGCTTCGCAGTCCCGCTTCTCACATGATGACTTTGCGGCAACCCGGGGGAAAAACCACTCAACTTTGGACCTTCATATCAGGCTTTCCTGGCGGGACCGCCTTTTCTGGGGGGCGCTTGGCCGGATCTGAGGTCTTTCTTAAAGCGCTCCCACCACGGCTTGGCCGTGGGAGGTGGCGATTGCAGAATACAAAGGATCAATCAGCGATTGCTCCTGGCAATACGGAGTGAAGGCCTTCAGTCGTCACTACCGTCGTCTTCCGAGGTTTTGTCTCGATTTCTATGTCCGAGTTTATCGAGTGAGCTCGCTTCGAGGCAACCGCACTCAGGTTCGTGGAGAAGCGCTCGTGGAACTTCTTCTTCGTGTCAAAGCTGGTCAGAAGATGCGAGAAATCGACGTGCTCCTGCGGTTGAAAAACGAAGTCAAGGTTCATGTCCCTGCAGCGGCAGATGAGTTCCATGTCGGACATCAGCGCATCGCCATAGGCCCGCAAATCCAGATCGTTTGGATCGTTTCCAAGCGGGGACTCAAGGATTTCGGCCACCTGCAGAGAACGGGGCAAAGACTCACCAAGCCAAGACACGACATAGAAGTAATTAAAGCATTCCCAGAAAAGCCTCCCTCAAGCCTTAAACTCAAAGTCACAGCCGGCCTCGTCCAATCCGTAGAAGCCTATGGTGGCCATCGCCGCGAATGCCAAGGTCCACCAGCGACAGAGCTGTGCCAAGCCGAAGGGAAGGAATCCCAGAAAGACCAAGGTGATCCACTTCACGATCTGGCAATATGGAAATGGGAATTGTGTCTTATCAATCTTGTCCATATGCCAGAACTTTTCACCCAGAGCATCCAGTTTGCCGAGCATGAAGCTCATGACGTCCGTCTCAACTGCCTGGTGATCCAGTATCTTTCGCATGGAGAGCTCTATCCAGAATAGGATGATGGAGGGTCTTGTGTTGTCGTGTACAGACTTCGAGCCCTCTACGGACTTGTGCTCTCCGGGATACAAGATCGTCCATTCAGTGTCGCCGGCCAATGCTGCAACATCCCTTCGCAGCCTGTCTTGAGTCTTCTTGCTGGCGGTGGCATTGGAACCAGTCCGCTGGAAGAACTCCACGACAGTTAGGTAATACAGGGCAAGCAGCCTTACAATCCTCTTTGCATTGTTTGCCACTTCAGGATGGGCCTCCCACTTCACCATGCTGCAGACGGTCATTGAAATGCTGCGCAGCAGGTGGCACATCGTCGTCAAGTCATCCAAAGCTTCCCAGAACTGCTTGCAGGCTTCCTGCGTCTTCAGAACCAGCAAGAAGGACAGGAGGATGGTCACTGCCGCTGTGCCGCTCTGAACCTGCTCCCCAAAATTTGTCGGAGCGTAGTCCTCCACTAGGAGCACAGCTGCAACGGAGATGCCTTCGATCACCAGCAGCTGAGGCAACAAATGCGGCACGATGGAGCCTCGAATCTTAAAGAGTAGCCTGGGGGTGATGGTAAAAAAGCTCCAGGCACTGCCTTCTGCAGCCGACGGATAGCTGACAACCATTCCTTCTCTGGTGGAGGCAGCGTCCTTACAGTGCGGGTTCATAGTGGAAACAAGCCTTTACAAAAGCAACATCACAGAACAGAAAAAGTGTTTCGGGTGTGAACGCTCAGCAGCCCGGTCAGCATGAGAGTATCATTTCGGCCGGGCCCCTAGAAAAAAAGGGGTCCCTCCATTTGGAGGAACCACCTTCGCAGGCCGGCGCGTTCTCTGTGAGCCAGACAGGGCGAGCAGCATCCTAGCCGAGGTAACTTCACGGTTCGGGCTTAGGCTTAGGATTTAGATGGATGTTCTGTAGGACCTTTTCAGCTTGACTGCCTTGCCTTCCCGCATTAATTAAGCGGGCGAGTCGGTGGATGAGGTGGAACACCCAGCGGAAGTGAGCGAAGGCGAGCCAATGCGAGGGGCAAACGAGTGGGGGAGAGAGCTGGGGAGTCGAAGAGCGACGGACGAACACTGAGAGTGTAGGAGTAACACTGGAGTAAGTGAGCGATTGGAGGAGGCGCACCAGATTGATGATGCAAGCTGAGTTTGGAGTCCTCAAAAGGAACGATGAGAGGCATCTTGAGAATTGCTTGTTACACGTGTAAACAACACTCTACCAGCAACTGGCTCCCAGCCCTGTCTGCAGCCTGCCCCTTTTTGCAGCAGGATCAATCCAGAACCACCGCCTCACAAAGGAACAGCAAAGGGAACCGACGATGCTTCGACGCAGCTCCTTTGCCTCGGCGGCGCCCGCTTCCCCCGCTGCTGGCCGTGCTTGCCGCGCGGCCCGGCGCTCGCGCATGCGCTGGCGCCTGGCCGAAGAGAGACGGGCGGACACGGCGCGGCCGTCAGCTTCTCGCGGCCTCTCGGCCTCCGCTTCCGCCTGCGAGGATCCGAACTTCACACTCCGACCGCAAGAATCCCCGGCGAGGAAAGTCTACATCCGCATGGATGCTCACTTTGTGGTCCATACCTAGACCTACTAAACCCTACTTTTTTGTAGTTCACAACATAAAATATAAACCCTAATATGCATTTATAGGGACCCTCTGATCTAAGCCGCGGGAGCGGGCGCCTCCACAGGGCACCCCAAAACTCTGAGCCAAATTGCCTCCTCGGGCAAGTTTTGTGTTCCGAAACGCTTGGAGGGAAGCAAAAAAAAGAGTTTCTTCAGCTGACAACCACTTGGAGGCAATTTTCTTCAGCTGACAACCAGCCACAAGATTGCCTCCGAAGCTTTCCTTGGGCTGAGTTTGAAGCCCGCATCCGCCCCAGAAGCTTTCCTTGGGTTGAGTTTGAAGCCCTGATCCGTCCCACGTGCTTGCCAGAAGCTTTCCGTGGGCCGAGTTTGACGCCTTGATCCGTCCAAAGTACCTGCCATTTGGGCCGAGTTTGAAGCCCTGATCCGTCCCCAGTGCTTGCCAGAAGCTTTCCTTGGGGCCGAGTCTGAAGTCCTGAGATCCGCCCCAAGTGCCAGAAGCTTCCAGATTGAAGCCCTGATCTGTCCCAAATGCTTGACAGAAGCTTTCCTTGCGCCGAGTTTGAAGCCCTGATCTGTCCTAAGTGCCTGCTAAAAGCTTTTTTTGGGCCGACTTTGAAGCCAAGTGCCTGCAACAAGCCTTCTTTGGGCCGAGTTTGAAGCCCTGGTCAATGTGTTTGAAGTTGTCCTTGGGCCGAGTTTGACCCGGATCCGTCCCAAGTGCTCGCCAGAAGCTTTCCTTGGGCTGAGTTTGAAGTCCGGATCCGTCCCAGAAGCTTTCCTTGGGTTGAGTTTGAAGCCCTGATCCGTCCCACGTGCTTGCCACAAGTTTTCGTGGGCCGAGTTTGAAGTCTTGATCGTCTAAAGTGCCTGCCATTTGGGCCGAGTTTGAAGCCCTGATCCGTGCCCAGTGCCTGCCAGAGGCTTTCCTTGGGGCCGAGGAAGTCCTGAGATCCGCCCAAAGTCCCAGAAACTTTCCTTGGGCCAACTTTGAAGCCCTGATCTGCCATTTGGGCCGAGTTTGAAGCTCTGATCCGTCCCCAGTGCCTGCCAGAAGCTTTCCTTGGGGCCGAGTCTGAAGTCCTGAGATCCGCCCCAAGTGCCAGAAGCTTGCCTTGTGCCAAGTTTGAAGCCCTGATCTGTCCCAAATGCCTGCCAGAAGCTCCCTTGCGCCGAGTTTGAAGCCCTGATCCGTCCTGGAACTTTTTTGGGCCGACTTTGAAGCCAAGTGCTTGCCACAAGCCTTCCTCGGGCGATTTGAAGCCCTGGTCAATGTGTTTGAAGCTTTCCTTGGGCCGAGTTTGAAGCCCGGATCCGTCCCAAGTGCTTGCCAGAAGCTTTCCTTGGGCTGAGTTTGAAGCCCGGATCCGTCCCAAGTGCCTGCCAGAAGCTTTCCTTGGGTTGAGTGTTTGAAGCCCTGATCTGTCCCAAATGCCTGCTGCGCCGAGTTTGAAGCCCTGATCTGTCCCACGTGCCTGCTAGAAGTTTTGTTGGGGCCGACTTTGAAGCCAAGTGCCTGCCACAAGCCTTCCTTGGGCCGAGTTTGAAGCCCTGGTCAATGTGTTTGAAGCTTTCCTTGGGCCGAGTTTGAAGCCCGGATCCGTCCCAAGTGCTTGCCAGAAGCTTTCCTTGGGCTGAGTTTGAAGCCCGGATCCGTCCCAAGTGCCTGCCAGAAGCTTTCCTTGGGTTGAGTGTTTGAAGCCCTGATCTGTCCCAAATGCCTGCCAGAAGTTTTCCCTGCGCCGAGTTTGAAGCCCTGATCTGTCCCACGTGCCTGCTAGAAGTTTTGTTGGGGCCGACTTTGAAGCCAAGTGCCTGCCACAAGCCTTCCTTGGGCCGAGTTTGAAGCCCTGGTCAATGTGTTTGAAGCTTTCCTTGGGCCGAGTTTGAAGCCCGGATCCGTCCCAAGTGCTTGCCAGAAGCTTTCCTTGGGCTGAGTTTGAAGCCCGGATCTGTCCCAAGTACCTGCCAGAAGCTTTCCTTGGGTTGAGTTTGAAGCCCTGATCCGTCCCACGTGCTTGCCAGAAGCTTCCCGCGGGCCGAAGTTGAAGCCTTGATCCGTCCAAAGTGCCTGCCATTTGGGCCGAGTTTGAAGCCCTGATCCGTCCCCAGTGCCTGCCAGAAGCTTTCCTTGGGGCCCAGTCTGAAGTCCTGAGATCCGCCCCAAATGCCAGAAGCTTTCCTTGGGCCAAATTTGAGCTTTCCTTGGGCCGAGTTTGAAGCCCCGATCCGTCCCAAGTGCTTGCCAGAAGCTTTCCTTGGGCTGAGTTTGAAGCCCGGATCGGTCCCAAGCGCCTGCCAGAAGCTTTCCTTGGGTTGAGTTTGAAGCCCTGATCCGTCCCACGTGCTTGCCAAAAGCTTTCCGTGGGCCGAGTTTGAAGTCTTGATCGTCCTGCCATTTGGGCCGAGTTTGAAGCCCTGATCCGTCCCCAGTGCCTGCCAGAAGCTTTCCTTGGGGCCGAGTCTGAAGTGCTGAGATCCGCCCCAAGTGCCAGAAGCTTTCCTTAAACCAAGTTTGAAGCCCTGATCCGTTTCAAGTGCCTGCTAGAAGCTTTTTTTGGGCCGACTTTGAAGCCAAGTGCCTGCCACAAGCCTTCCTTGGGCCGAGTTGGAAGCCCTGGTCAATGTGTTTGAAGCTTTCCTTGGGCCGAGTTTGAAGCCCGGATCCGTCCCCAGTGCTTGCCAGAACCTTTCTTCCTTGGGCTGAGTTGAAGCCCGGATCCGTCCCAAGTGCCTGCCAGATGCTTTCCTTGGGTTGAGTTTGAAGCGCAGAAGCTTTCCGTAGGCCGAGTTTGAAGCCTTGATCCGTCCAAAGTGCCTGCCATTTGGGCCGAGTTTGAAGCCCTGATCCGTCCCCAGTGCCTGCCAGAAGCTTTCCTTGGGGCCGAGTCTGAAGTCCTGAGATCCGCCCCAAGTGCCAGAAGCTTTCCTTAAGCCAAGTTTGAATTGCCAAGTGCTTGCCAGAAGCTTTCCTTGGGCTGAGTTTGAAGCCCGGATCCGTCCCAAGTGCCTGCCAGAAGAGTTCCTTGGGTTGAGTTTGAAGCCCTGATCCGTCCCACGTGCTTGCCAGAAGCTTTCCGTGGGCCGAGTTTGAAGCCTTGATCCGTCCAAAGTGCCTGCCATTTGGGCCGAGTTTGAAGTTCTGTTCCGTCCCCAGTAGTGCCTGCCAGAAGCTTTCCTTGGGGCCAAGTCTCAAGTCCTGAGATCCGCCCCACGTGCCAGAAGCTTGCCTTGTGCCAAGTTTGAAGCCCTGATCTGTCCCAAATGCCTGCCAGGAGCTTTCCTTGCGCCGAGTTTGAAGCCCTGATCCGTCCTGGAAGCTTTTTTGGGGCCGACTTTGAAGCCAAGTGCTTGCCACAAGCCTTCCTTGGTGCGATTTTGAAGCCCTGGTCAGTGTGTTTGAAGCTTTCCTTGGGCCGAGTTTGAAGCCCGGATCCGTCCCAAGTGCTTGCCAGAAGCTTTCCTTGGGCTGAGTTCGAAGCCCGGATCCGTCCCAAGTGCCTGCCAGAAGCTTTCCTTGGGCTGAGTGTTTGAAGCCCTGATCTGTCCCAAATGCCTGCCAGAAGTTTTTTTCCCTGCGCCGAGTTTGAAGCCCTGATCTGTCCCATGTGCCTGCTAGAAGTTTTGTTGGGGCCGAAATTGAAGCTCCGACTCGCGGAGGCACACTAGCTTTTTGCTTCGAGAAAACAAGCCTTCGATGACATGTCATGATTCACCGCACTCGCATTCAGACTCCCCCTTCAGCAATCCGCTGAACAGAAGAAGCGATGCTCGAGCGTTCCAAAAGAACCCTGAAACTTTACAAGGGTTTTCCGAAGCGTCTTTCGCTTCATAGGAATCGCGGCCGACTTACGCGGCCTTCATCACAGACTCAAGGCTTGACACTCAGTCGTCCCAGTGCTGGGACGTATGGGTCTTCACTCCTCGAACGAGACGCAGCTCCGTGCGCCCCCTCCATTCTCGATCCGCTAGTGTTTGCGCAGGCTTGTGCAGCTCCTTGTAGTTGTCCGAGAGGACACGTGTCTCACCATTGGCGAACTTCGCGAAAGTCCGTCGCTCCCCGGTGAGTTGAGCTTGGGTAGGGCCTCCACTGGTCTGACCTGGCACGAAAAGCTGCATCCGGGCGGCTGCGTGCCAGCGGATCACCACACCATGCGCCTCATCCCATTCCCAGCGATCGCGGTTTCCAGAAGGGTCCGGAAAGCTGTAGGCACCGGCTTCATGGACCCTTCGCAACGGCTCCGGCTCAGCAAAGGAAGTCCTCGGTGGAGTAGTAGGTCGTGTCCGGGAAGATCTGGCGGAGTGGTAGGTGGCGTCGGGGAAGGCCTCGGCGGCGGTCAAACGGCTTCTGGTTCGCCTTCGAGTCGTTTCAGTAGCTCGTGAGACTTCCGGTGAGTCTGCCTCCTGTCGATCCATAGTTCCCACGGGATCTGTGGACCTACTCAGCGAGGCCTCTTCCTGAAGTCTCCCCGAGCCACCGGTCCAGTGGCCAGCCACCCGTCTTGCAAGACCCTTCACGCATTCCCAAATCGCAATGATGGCCAGCAAGCACAGACCAAAAGAACTGGTAATCGAAGCGCTCCCGGGACTCACTCTCGGCAGCCTCCCCACGTTCCACCATCGCCGCCAGACACAGCACCATCACAAGCTTCTTAAACTTAGCCTGCCCAGCAGTCAGGCTCCGTGTTGCCGCGGTGGAGCGTGTGCGCACCACCCTCATTCTTTCCACGAGCATGTTGAAGCGCTCAGCAGCCAAAGCCTTCGTTCCCAGGTCCGCCAACATGACCTTGCCGTCCACGTGGTAGGCGCACCAGTTGGGGAGCTCCAGCAGCTCCCTGATCATGTTGCCACGGATCCCTAAGTGCCTTGTTCTCCACGAGCCCGCTGCGCATCGGCAAACAGCC